AGTATTTGATCTACAGTTTGTCTTCCTTCTACAAAGGCCCCTTGATACAATGAAATTAGAGATGGGAGGATCTTTTTTAATCTTAGTGCTAGGACCTTAGAGATGATCTTATACATGCTTCCCACCAGGCTTATAGGTCTGAAATCCTTTAGTTGGAGAGCGTCCTTCTTCTTAGGAACCAAGGCAATAAAAGTTGCATTTGCTCCCGAGTTAGATTTGCCTCTCTCATAGAACTCTTCAAGAACCTCCAACAAATCCTCTCTAATTATCTCCCAACAATCTTGATAGAAGGCCATCGAAAAACCATCAGGCCCAGGAGCTTTAGATCGATCCATGGAGAAGATTGCATTCCAAAGATTCCAATAAGACACTATCTTCCACCCTCCACTCCAGGTCCTCTAAGCTCTCACTAGGTCTCCCTAGGTTGTCATACAATAATTTGAAGTGATTAACCAAAGCTTGAGCTATATCATCTTCCTTTGTCAGCAATTGCCCATCCCACTCCAATTTTGAAACAAAATTCTTCCTTCTCCTCCCATTTGCCAACGAATGAAAAAACCTTGTATTGATGTCCCCTTCCTTTAGCCATTTGCACCTAGATTTTTGCCTCCAACTTATCCCCTCCTTCCTAAGAAGATCTTCCAATTACTGTTTCAAATTCCATCTTTCCACCCTACCCTCTTCCCCCAGCCTTCTCTCAGCTTCTAGTCCATCTAGCTCCTGCACTCTCTAACTGATTTCCACTTTCCTTTGCTCTAATCTACCAAAAACCTCTTTGTTCCAAATCTTGAGTCTAGCAAACCTATTTAGAAATCTCACTACTCTTAAATAGTGGTAGAAAAGCACCATATAAATATGCTCCAAGCATGCTTGTTGATTTGAATCAATTATAAAGTCACTCACAGAATGAATTAACAGGATTCTCCAAGCCAAAGGAAAAACGGGAAAACTTTGAAAACATGAATCTTCTAGAACTGCAGGCATGGAAGAACGTTCCTCAGACCCTAGAAGTCAGATCTCTAGATGAAAGAGCAATATCTTTCTTACTCAATTCCTGCTAATATCCCCAAACACAAGGAAAGCTGAAGAGTTCTATGGAGTGTTTGGTATGACCAGAATTCTAGAATTATTTTTGAAAAAAAAAAGTCATGTCAGGATACAGGAAATATTATAGGCCTCTTTTTGATAGAGATAGCACATTGAGTGAAACTAGTTGAGAGTTTAGAGGAGTTCTAATTAATTCAATCTCAAAAAGGTGGTATGCAATGGCTAGCTTTTCTCTTCGGACAAACTATATCTAAGCCATGGGCAGTGCCTGAACRAAGACATTAAACTGAATTTTGACAACAGCACTCTTGGGATCCCTGGACAATCAGGAGYAGAGTGGACTTTTAGAGACAATGATAGCAATATGTTGCTGAGCAATTCAGGCCCAGCTGGAATAAAAAAAATCTTTAAGGGTAGAACTGTTAGCACTTCTTCAAGAGCTTAAGARCTGAAATTAGCATGTATAGAGGCTAGAGACATTTTTCCATTTAAGGAGTTGTCAAGTAGTGATTAGCTATCAAGGCAAGGAACAGGAAGAGAACAATTGTACTGGGGTCAGGTCTTTCAAGGGGAGCTGTAACTGTAATATGAAACGCAGTTAGCTACAGCTATCTGCCTCTTTGGAAGGCAATGCTTCAGAATTGTACTAAAAGATTCTTTAAAGTAAGAAATGGTTTTGACAGTTATCTATCAAAATATTAGTGATTAGCACAACTCCCAGGAAAGCTAGAGGACCTTGGTGTCTTAGATCTCAAATTAAATAAGACAAAACTTTTTCTTCCAATTTGAACTGCTTGTTCAGTTGGATACCAAATTACCAATCCAGAGGTCTGCTAAGTGCAAAGAGCCTAGTAGTTTAGTTGTGATCGGAGTCAACAAGACAGAAATACTCCTCCTCCCTCCCTCTCTGTTATATATCTCTTTTTTTTTCATTCCAATTTAATCTTGGGAGTTCACCTGAACTAATCAAAGGAATCGAATGTTAGGGGAAGGTAAAATTACATATCTACCCTCCAATACTTAATAACTAAATATCACCACACTGATCAAAAGAAGAAAAAGAGTTTTTTTTTCCTTTCTTTCTTTGCTTCCATGTAATACAAATTACAAACTCAAAAAGATAAGGGGATCACGGGAAAAACTCCCAAACACATGAGATCAACTCATTGCATGTTTACAAAAAAAAAAAAAAAAACTTAACATTCACAGACAAAAAAGGCCGAGAAATACCTGTTGCAGTTCCTATCCCCATCAGTGAAGAACCTGCATTTGCCATGATAGCACGCACATCAGCAAAATCAACATTAACCAGACCTGGAACCTGCAATTTAAGGAACCCACCATCAAGAATAAAATTAACTACCAGAAGCTTTACATGACAGCTAAATAAATACAAGTAAAGGGAGAACAAAGAACTATGGAGTCATGGCAAGAAAATTCCCAACAAAAACCGTTACCTGATTGTACATCATCTCATGTACTCTTCCTTTCTCTTTAAAGTTACTCTTTCTCTCAATTATCAAAAAAAAAAAAAAAAACTTACTCTTTCTCTCTAAAATAGTCCAAAGGATTGGGATAAATTAGGTAATTATTCATTTTTCTCTTTTTTATTCTTTTTTTACCAACATCAATAAAGAGAATTTTATTAGAAAGTAGGATCAAAACCAGGTTTCTAGTCAAGATCCCAGCAAACAATAAGAAGGCCCCTAAATGGGGAGAAACAGAAACACTAATACAAACCCAGCCCTGTGCCAGTAAAGAAATATCCCAGTATGAATAGCCTATCTGAACCAAGTGGCTGATGGGTTAGCTAAACATGGGTTGGAAAGGGATATCATGTGTAGTGCTAATACAATGCCTTACTAATTGATTTGGGCTCTTCTTTCTTTTTGTGTTCTCAAGGCCTTTGTACACCCTCTCATGTACATCCTTCCTCTTTGGTTTAATACAAGTTATCTTTCTACACAAAACAAAAAAGGACTCCTATACTTGATTGCCCTGGAGTGCCAATAAGCATTCATAAAAGATGAGTTTGATGGTGTTCCTAACAGGATGGACCCATATAGGAACAATATCCTCTCTAGCTGGAGAGGACCAAGCAGCATAGTACTAGTCCCTAAACACGGAGTCAAATTGAAGTTGGTATTTGGTTTATGGATCTTCAAGATAGATTTCACTTCCTTGCATATACACCACATGCATGTATGCAAGATTTGAGTATCATCCTTGTGGCCTGCCAAATAGGTAGGCCAGATGTATTCATCAGAGATTTCCAATATAAGCACAACCGATATGGCTCAAATTATTCGCCTATCAAGATTTGACACGTGGTGCTGGTTTCCAGGCATGAACCATTAAGGCACCTCACCTCGGACCGTGACCTTAGTCTCAATGACTTAACTTTTTCTCCTCTGAACAAGCCAATGCACCCACAGTGAGTGATTACCTCTTCTGAAGAGGTCAGTGGAGTTCTACAGCCAATCACACGTACCTACTCGGTTATCAAGGATACTGAGCTAAGATGTTCAAGTGGCAGTGGGCAGTCAATCAAAGCACCACTTGGCAGTCTGAAGCAACCGGATAGTTACAACGTGGCCGTGCTGTCTTGACTGTTGGCGCACTTGTAGAAGAAGTGGGCCCCACTCTGATCAACGTATACTTAATGTGTCAATTCTCAGCAGGACAGGTGGTCCGAGGTTCCAAATACGTATGTGATTTGTCAACTCCGGAACTCAGGCACTCTTCATATAAATAGGTAAGCACCCCTTCGTTTAAATACTTTAGACACACCAAACACTTGCTCCTCACACATCTTGGTTTATCACACCTCATCCTCTTTTGTTCCTGATTTACATTGAGCTCTTCAGCTCGTTGCTCCTATCCACTAGTATTAACTTGACTGTCAGAGTCCTACCCCCAGGATATCACCCCAGGGCCTCTGACATTTGATTGTTCTGCAGGAATTCATCCTGCCCAAGGTATTCTATTGTCTGAAGCTCAGGAAAGCCAAAGTGATGTTCTGCCCTGTTTATTGGACAGCATCAACAACCATTCAGAATTCAGGAAATTTGCATGCAAAATGCAGATGGATAGGCACATCAGCTGTCTTGTTCATATTGTTAGAAGTTACAGTGTTCATATTCAGTTACCCAAACTTTGTTCGTACCGTTAGAAGTGTAGGCTGACTTTGTAACAACAATAACATAACACGTCTTGGTACAGATGTTAAAGTCATGAACTTTGTGACTTCTGAAAATGACTGCATGACATCTCTGAGTTCAGAACTTGTCAGGTACATGGCCACAGAAAGATATCAGATAAAAATTTAGTCCCATTATAACACCAGGGATCCTTGTGCAGATGAGGAATCCATTTGGCTCCACCAAAAGGCAATTTAATAACTTAGAATACAAGAATAAGATAGGAAATTTCCTCCATTTACCTTGTAACTCATTTGAAATGAAGATTTGGAGTTGAACTTTTATACCTAAGTCCATCAAATCCTAAAAGATTAAATTATCCTTTTCTTTCATTGACTAACTAATCAGTCCACAACTCCACAATTTTGCTTAGCCAGAATGTTAGGAGGGGATCAATTACGTCAACCATGGAATCTTGTGCAAGATCATCCCATGTTACTAGTGGTTCAATTTTGTGATGCTTATATATATATAAAGAGGTTGGCACTATTATTTTCTCATCAACCTCAAGGGTGACATTAATTGCTTTTTTTTTATTGCTTTTTGTTGATTCTTAGTTCTTACAGCTTGCCTTAATAGAAAGTACTTCAGTTTAGAAAAATTATTGAATTTACATCTATTTTAATTAGTTTACCATAAAAACCCATGGATGAAGGGTAGAGTCATTGTAAAAAGTTTCTTAAGGCATTCAAATTTCATACCGTAATTATATCAGAGATACCACGAACACCTTGTCGAAGGATATCATCAGCCAAATTAAATGCTTCAGTTACAGGAGTAGATTGAGAAACGGCAGTCAATAATTTGTCATTAGGAATAACAATCAGTGTGTCAACATTGTCTCTCAAAGCTGCAATTCCTTCCTGTGCTTGAACTGCTCGTCTCCGCCCCTCAAATGAGAAAGGGGTTGTAACAATTCCCACAGTCAAAATACCCATTGACTTGGCAATTCCTGCAATTACCGGGGCGCCACCTGTGCCAGTTCCCCCACCCATTCCAGCCTGTATGTAAAAGTTTCATCATTTTAAGGAAAGAAACCTAGAATAATACAGGATAAAGAAATTGAGCAGCCCGTGCATCATTGCATATGAGACAGATTTTGACCATCACTAACTAAGCATATTCTAAAGGGGAAAAGAAGATGTAAAACAATCATAGCTTACAGATAACCAACCTAATGTTCAACAAGAACAGTATGCAGAACTGTCTAATCTTACATAGAACAGAAATAGATATAAATGATAAAGAATCAGAACCCACCAAACAAAACATGAAATTTCACATCCTGCATATGCCAATATAAAGCATCCAGATTGCTGATCAAAAAGGAAAAAAAAAAAAAAAAAAACATAAAGCATCCAGATATATAATCAGTAAATCATATTGCAATATTTAAGCTATAATTATTTGTATCACATATTATCCATGTAATATGATTTTTCCCATATACCAGTCTCCATAAGGATAGTACAAAAAAGTTCATGGTAGATTTATGTTAGGTGTGAATTCACCAAAACCAAGCCCAGATATAAAGTACTCAAACCCACAAGTGCTGACAGAATCTGAGGCATGCCAATGTTGGTATTTCGTATGGTTAGAGAACTTTTTCTTGTAATGGCAACCCTATGCATCATAGTCCAACAAACTAACATGTAGCACCAACCAGTTCTGAACATAAAGCTACACTGAAGATGCAATCTACACAAGTATCTGAATTTAATTCTACATTCAATATGTAGTTCTGGTGTCATCAAAGGTGTCAAAGATGTGGAATCAACTAAAAGATCATAGAGGAGTATGTCAGGATAGATAAAAATTAATGAAAAGAGCATATATGATGGATTTCAGGCAATCACACCTCACATCCATATGCCTTACAAAGTACCTGGCCTATGACATTGTCAGGAACCTCTCGGATTAATGTAACATTTTCCCCAAAGCATCAATCCCATATTTCACAACTCTGGCTCAAGAAAAGAATCCTATTTTTCATCAAGGCTTGATGTTATTCCCCATCAGAGGTGACAAGTTGACTGAAAAGCCACCTTAATGTGCCAATGGGTCATGTTTACAGAATACAGGATTTGGGCTTAGGTTTATAGTTATTGATAACAAACCATGTATAGGTTTCCCTGTCTTTCCCTATCTTTTCCTTCAAACCAAACATAGCCTAAGTTCATCATATATATTCCCAAGTCCATCCTATATATGAAATAGTCAAGAGGGTGAATCCAAGTAGAAGCCTACCGTAACAAAAACCATGTCAGAACCATAGAGGGCCTCCTCTATTGCTTCTTTGCTCTCCTTGGCAGCATTCATGCCAATATCTGGATTGCCACCGGCACCAAGACCCCTAGTTAGCTCTTTACCTATTTGCAAGCGGTTCTCAGGAAACACGGGCGACATTCTCATGGCTTGAACATCTGTATTAACTACCCAGAACTCCACACCCTTCATGGCACTCTCAATCATTCTATTAACGGCATTTGACCCGCCGCCTCCAACACCAATGACTTTGATTTTAGCTTCATTATAATTATTTGAAGCAGGCAAATCAACTAAGCTCTCAGTGACATTGACACCTGCGCTTTCCTTTCTCGGACTCGTTACTGCGTCGCTTCCCTCACCTCCTCTTAGCATCGAGACTTCGGGGTGTAGACTCAAGAAAGGATCTCTACTGTTGTATGGACTTGAGTTGTGGGAATTGGCCAAACATCTAAAATGAGGCAAATTTGAAGCAATCCTCTGGCTGTGACCAAAAAATCCATTCTTCCCATCAAACACCTTCAGGGAACTGATTTTACCTACACGATTCTTCATCGGGACTCTTCCTCCAAGAACAGATAAGACTCCCACTGAATTTCGAGTGTCGGAAGACGGAAAACATGCTAAATGAGTTGTCATCTTTAATGGTAAAATCCAAAATCTCGGAGACTATAATAAGTAGGACGGCTTCCGGAGACTAGAGAATGAAATCCCCCAAAGTCAGTAATTCCATTCCGAAGGTTTCTTCAGTGACCTGTCCATAATAACGATAGATAAATAAATAAAACGAATAAAAATACCCAACTAAATTACAACACGTTATTTTCAAAAATAAAAAACAACACGTTAATCACGGAAACTGTTAAAAGATCAGAGTGAAATCATAAAACTCGGTGATTTCTTCCAGTAGAGGTTAATGCAGAATCTTGTAGTTAGAAATGCCTAAAAGTACGTACTTCTAGTGAAAAAAAGCTTGGGTTCCTTGAAAACCTGAAGCTCCAGGAGGAGTTTACGAAAAACATGAGGGAAGTGCAGAAAGCAAAACAAGCAACAATTACGAAAAACACAGAACCATCATCCCTGAAATTAACCAACAGAGAAATGGGAAGAAACGAAACCGGTTTTTCGGGAAGAGAGAGAGACCTGAGCAAGTTACGGTATTCCAGGAAATGGTGACAGAGATTCTCGCCACTGAGAAGAGAGTCGAAAAGCTGATTGTTTTACAACTTCTGTGTTCTACTTTTCCTTTGGGGTTTTGGGCTGAGAGAAATGAAATCTCTGTCACAAAAATCTCTAGAGGGTGAGTGTTTTGGACTTTCGGGAAGGAAGTAGCTTGACTGACAAGGGACAGATCACATGTAGGCATAGATGTGTAAAACGGGCCGGGCGGGCATAGATGTGTAAATCGGGTTAGACTTTTTTTTTACTTTTTTTTTGTTTCTTTATTAGGTAAAACTAAAATATTTAATTTTTCTTTAAGAATTATTTGAAAAAATAAGAAATCTATTAAAGAAATGAAAAAAAAAATACTTAACCAAATAAAAAGTCAAAGAGGCAAATACTAATAACAAATTGGAAGAAAAATATAAATTTTATTTCATTTAAATTTGAATGATACAAAGCATACAATGGTTTGATTAATGAAATATGAAAATTGGAAAATAGAATAAATTAATAAAATATAAAAAATACAATATAGTTATAAACTGAAAATAAAAAGTACATTATTAAAAAATATCAAATAAATTAAATAAAACTAAAACAAACTTTACAATAATTAGAAAAAATGTTATACAACTATTGAGTATACAAAAAATATTAACTTCATCATTTTCTCCTATTGTTCTCGACTTTGATCATTGTAGAAATTGAAAATGGTGGAGGATATGGCTATTTATAGGAATTGTTGAATTGGTGTGATGGGAATGGCAAATGATAGGGCTATTTATAGGAATTGAAAATAATTCAATTGCCCAAAAATACCCTTAAAACTAGCCATTTTTTATTTGTTATGAGAGGTATTTTGGTCATTGTAAAGTTACTTATCACTTTACCCAAAATACTCCTCCAAACTAGCTGTTATATAGTTGTTGGGGCATTTGTGTTGTTCTATTTCCCCACCAAAACCAAAATACATAAATACCCCCTATATAGTTGCTTATAGTTGTTGGGGGGTATTTCTATAAAAAAACATCTTATGTAAATACAGGCTTGTGGGCCATGCCATGATGGACTGTGCCACGTGCCATGTGCCATGTTGCGGGCTAGGTTGTGTCAGCATGTGGGTCGCAGGCGGCACAGCACGCATAGTCATGTTGTGTCATGCTGGCCCATGGACCTAGAACCCTAGGCCCAGCACAACCCCGACCATCGTGTCATGCCAAGCCAAGCCGGGCCAAACCGCAGGCAGCACGAGTGCACGACCTGATTTACCTCTAGGTAGGTAATAGGCTCCGGATGGAGCTAGAAACAGATTGGATCGAATTTACTAAAGGGTTAGATTAAAATTTGATTCATTTATTTCCATATTCGATTCGAATCTTACCCAATGGATTTATACCAGATTTGAATAGATTTTGAATTGCAATCAGATACAAAATGCCATTAGAAAAAAGATTAAAAATAATCAAAATATTAAGATTATTAATAAAATGAATTAAAAATAACTTTACTATTATGTATTATGAATAAAATATATTGAAAAAAATTAATTAATATACCAAAAATTAAGATAATGGTGCACTAGCTAAAGAATTGTACTCTAAAGCATTCTAATTCAATGAAATTCACCATTGGCTTTACAAAAAAAACAAAAAAGAAAATAACGTTTATAAAACTTGACAGTTAAGATACCAAAAGCATGGTAACTAGTATCACAAAGTGATAGTTAGGGATGGCAACAGGGCATGTTTGGGGAGGGTCTTGTAAATTTTAGATCTTACTTGTCTCTCTAAACCTCCCAACCTGTACCCACCCCAAAACCGGGTTGGATTTTCAAAACACAAACTTTCCCTGCACATGATAGTGCAAAACCCTACCTTATATGCATTTGAGGGTGGGGTAGGTGGGTTTGGTTCAGATCATCTAATTTCCTATTATTTCATGTCATATACAAGCAATAAACAAGTAACATGAATAAACATTAAAATTTCTAATTATTTGATTAAAGTATGTTAAAAACATATAAACTATCAATTATCCTTCACATAAAATTCAAAAGTTCATAAAAGTACTATTTGAGCCCATATAATGCATCTATTTTGTTAAATAAAACTAAAATAGAAGCAACCCTTTAACGTTCCTTAGCTTTTCATGTTCAAGAAAATATTGACAAATTTTAAGAAGAGACCCATGCAATGCATGTGTGTAGGACAGTTGGAGAGAAATGATGACCACTTGAGGTAGGGTTTGAGAGAGAGAAATGGAGGAGTTAGAGAAAAAAACCAGGAAAAGGAGTAGAGAGGGTGTAAAGTAGAGTTGCTGACCTAGGAGAGAGGGTTCTAAAGGGAAAAGGGAGGAAGAAGAGGAAAAGAGAATCCATGGAAGGAGAAATGGAACAAGGGGAGGGTGGGTGACACGGATCGCATTATATACATTCAATGATCATACAGTTTCGGTAAATTATTCTTCAACTATCAGTAATTTCACTAAATTACTGTTAAATCAGAATTATAAAATCACAAAATTTTAGAATCAGAAATTTAAATTAGTGAAAGCACAATCCAACTCCAAGGAGAAAAACTTATTTTAAACCCTCTATTTATTTTTAGTAATCCAGACCAAGGTTCAAAGGTCCGTATTGACCGATACGTATCGTATCGGGAGAATCCTGATACGTCTCTACAAAGGGTGTATCAGGGTTCTGACCAGTTCAGGGGGTAGAGGAGCCTTAATCCAACCCAGCTGAACTGGTTTTGAAAAAAAAAAAAAAGTAAAAAAAGGACCGATACACCCCTACCAGCATATCGATATTTAGAACCTTGATCCAGACCATAATATATATAAATAAATAAAAGTTATCACTTCCATTACCCTTTCTCACATCTAATTGATACGCTTAGATAATGAGCATATTAGCCACAAAGAAAACTGTTAATGGCTATTGGGCTTTGAAAATGTCTGTAATTAAAAGACTTTAATTAATAACTAATAACGTAAAAAGAAAAGAAAAAAAAAATGAAAGGGCAATAACACCAAAATGTAATTAGTAATTTGTGGATCGGGACATCGGGTTAATCCAATTGAGGCAATGCAACTTGGGGTTAATCCACTTAGAGGATACAATATAAGCATTTTTTTTAATGTTTATATTTTGGGATTGATGTTTGGACTTTGGATCATCTTCATTTCATTTGAGTAGATTATTTGTTGAAATGGATAGCTGGGGGCAATTAATTGTACTATGAAAGCGATTAGCCAAAGACCATAAAGACAACCAACCAACATGATAAGATATTTGGCAGGTTGTGCGAAAGAAACCCTTTGAAAGCTAACAAATTAAATGAGGATGTGTTTGGCTTGAAATAAAAGGTAGGGAAAGGTAATCTAACCAAACACAGCCCCTTTCAAATCTAAACAACCTAAGTCGGTTACCATGAACGTTAATGTGAAGGTGCTGTACATCTGGTTCCACACCATATTGAAATCGTTTCCACAGGATCGGCCAGTCCGGACCTAATGGCCTATACCTGCATAGGTTTTCCTACCTTTTCTTTCAAACCAAACACAGCCTAAGTGTATCCAATATTGATCGGATGCTGTCAGTCACAAATTCCGTTGCCGCAGGGCTGTAAAGGCTGTGACGACGGATTTCGTCTTCTCCAATATCTATCTTAAAAAGCACTTCACCAATTACTCTCTGCAATACCAAGGATTTGAACCTTGAACCTAATATCATCACAATAATTGTCGTGATAACACAATAACAACAACAATAAACAAAGTTGAACTAATTCATTTGGAGAAACGGAATTCTTGGCTAGTTTTTAACTTGCCCTCCAAAAGTTGATTGGAGCTATACCGCATATAGGAAATCTTGAGCATCCAGCCGCTCCGGGAATGAATCAACTCAGGATTTTGAGACACTTCATTAAAGCATCTGTATGTTCAGGCTTCCCAACAGAAACCCGAACATAACCCTTGAGTTCTTTCTTGCTATAATGGCGGATCATCACCCCCATTTGTGCAAGGTCATCCTACAAAAATGAAGACACTGATCAGCAGAAGAAATAATAGTTGTCACATTTATGTCATCTACAGCTTGTAGGTATAATATCAAGCAGGGATTTTAGCCTGGAAACCATAACAATAGGCCAAATTCAACCATAATGCCTCAAGATGCAACATTGGAAACTAAAATTAAACAGTAGACAATGAACAAGAAACTAACTTGTAGGATCAACTAATCAGTGCAATTTCGTGAGATGGCCCATGAAGCATACTTTCTTTAACCTTAAAGATGAAGTCTGGATACAACTTTATAAACACCCCCTTTAGTAATGGCATGACTGTAATTCCTACATTACTAGAATGGGGACTATAAAGGTTGCTTTCAAACTTTAACTTATTGCCACCTTTAGTAAAGAACTACAAGGAGACCAGACAGCCAATGGAAGAATAACTATAGGAATCTGATTAGCAAATAAGTTCTAGGAAATGCAATAAATTAGTAGTTCAACAAATTCCATTGCATGTATTGATTTAGTTCAGAAAATCAGCAGAAATTGTTAGATGGTGATCTAAAGTATTTTAAGAGAAATCTTATATTCTAAGCTGAGTCCCCAAAAGCTAGCAACATGAATCTTCACCACCCCACCGGCCCACCCCTTTCAAAAACCACTACAAGGGGAATATGATATGTAAGATTGGCCCCACTACAATGTAAATATTTCTTAAAGTAGAACCCCCCCCCCCACACACACACAGGGGGGAAAAAAGGATATCTCCTAGGTCCATCTATGCCTTATTGACAAAACTAAATTAAGTACTACTAGGAAAGTAAACAAATAAAGAATATAAACAGTAATTTTAAGAACTTAAAGTTGCAAGCATGCTAGTTTAGACAGAATAGTGTTGATTATGTGTATATGAGCATGTGGATGATATCAGAACTAGAGTTATGGATACAACACAAACAGGCCAAGTTTGTCCTTTGTCAACATAAGGCTTAAAGTCTACTGTTTATTCAATCAGAACTGTTGTTCAGTTGCATTTTCTCAACTATTATCAAGAAAAGAAAATACGTTTCTTTGCACTGCACTTCAGTAACCTGGCTTGGTTTGTTGATATGTTTTGTGCATGTATTGTTTAGATGGGTGATTTAGATGACTGTGGCAGTAGAAAGATGTAAGAGAGAGAGAGAGAGAGAGAGAAGACCTAAGAGAGAAGAGAAAGAAGAGAATTGGAGCATTCAAAATCATGGGGAGTCTATCCCACACATTGTATTGTTAATATAGTGTGAAATTGCAGGAAAATCATCTATGATTGGAAGCCCTGTCCCCCTAGATTCCTACTGTTTTGGGTGTGCTCTTCTCTTGGTTCTTCAATGCATTGCATTTTCATGCATGTGGTCCATAATGTTTTTTAGTTGACTAGATTTAATTACTAGTTAGCACTCCACATGCAGTAATTTGGAGGCATCATAATCTCCCTTTTTATTTTCAAAATTGTATGCACTAAATCATAATTACCTCTATAAGAGGCAAAATAAAAGGGTAGAGTTTCAGAACCTAAAGAAACATAGGTGCCACCCAAGGTATTCCATTGAGTAGCTTAAGATTTGAAAATCAATACTTGTGAGACCCTATAGAGGAAAAGACCTAGTTGGCATTTATCTCGTACATCTGGCATCCTTTGCTACACAAAGGGAGAATATTACGATCCATATATTAGTCCCACATCGGTAGTATGGGATGCTGTTGTGGGGTGTATATGTGTCTGGGTTCCCTCCCTCTAACAGCTAGCTTTTAGGGGTGAGTTCTCCTAAGGCACATAACAGATGGTATCAGAGCCTACACTATGCCTTCCAGTTGCAATCGCGCGGCGCAGGTGGTGACGTCGGTATTGCAGTGTTCGGCCGGGACTAGGGGGACTAGTGCAAAGCCAGCCTGCGTGAGCACCGGGACTGCGGAGCGTGCTGGAATGTTACGATCCATATATTAGTCCCACATCGGTAGTATGGGATGCTGTTGTGGGGTGTATATGTGTCTGGGTTCCCTCCCTCTAACAGCTAGCTTTTAGGGGTGAGTTCTCCTAAGACACAACAAATCTACCCACCACTTGCTAATCTCCTGTCCTTTTCTTTTCAGAATTTGGGAATAGATTTTTACTTTCTGGATGTAGGTTGGTTCTGCCATCAGAAGTGAGGAACCTCTTTTTCTAATGTTTAAAGACCATCTAAGAAGAGAAATAAGATACTCTGGATAAATACAAATGTACAAGAGCAACAGTGTTATGGACTATAAAGAAAGAAAGAAACAAAAGGATGTTCAATGGTATAGTGGTTTATTGGGTTAAAACAATAAGGCTCTTTGACACCTCTATGGAGATTATCATATGATAATGGTTTTACATAGCAAACTCTTAAATATATAGAACCTTGGTGGGTTTAAATTGGATGCCACCTGAAAGGAATGTGATAAAGCTGAATTTTGATGGATGTAGTGGGGGAACTCTGGGACCATCAGGCAGGCTTTCGAGACTGTAATGGAATGGTATTGACCTTTCTTATGAAAATGGTAATGTATTGAAGCCTATTAATGAAGATCATACACCACAGCCCCCATACAAAAGACACTGTACATAGGCTAGGACAAAAACAAGGAACTCTAAGGTAATTACAAAAAGAGAGATTCCCTGTCTGAATGAGCTATACTATTATAGCATGATTTAACTGTAAAAGAACCAGCCCCATCCCACCACCACCTCATGTCCTCCCTGCTGAGATCAGGCTTTATAGAGTTGATTTTCTGCATGAGTTCAACAAACAGATTTATTTCCCAATCATTCAGTTCCCTCCTTAAGATAGGCACCATGCAACTTGTACATTATAGATAGTGTAAGCTTCTGCTATAGAGGCTTTTTTTCTCTGAGAAGAAGATTAAGAGGGTTTTACTCACACCAAAAATCCAACCAGAATCTTACCTTTGAGCCACTACCCACTTCATGCTTTTTTATCAGTAACAGTCAACATAATTATATCGTAGAAGCACATACTATCTACCCCAAAAACATTTCATACATCAGATTCCCTTGGAATCTCCCCCCCACCCCACCCCACCAAAACGGATCCAATCTATTTACCTCTTTGACTAGCTAAGGCATCAGCCATGCTGTTTGCACATATAGGGACCCATTGGAAAATGACCGTCAGTTCTTCTGTTCTGCCAATGATTGATTTCCCTTAGTAAGTATCAACATGTCCATGCTCCCAAGGTATTATTTCTCAACCAACACACCACTACCTTGGGTTTCCCCTCCACTATTATATTTCTGTATTTTAGGTTCCTGCCCTATCTTAGACCCTGTAAACATTTTTCCTTTTTGTTTTTTTAATGAGTAACTGTAAATCTTCATTAGTTGTTCTAAAATATGAAATGTACAGCTATTGTGTCAGAAACACCCCATCAGTTGGCCTAGTTCCAGTAGCCACCAAAAAGACACATGTTGTACAAATCCCTTTATTGGACCAAACCCCAGAAAGCTTGCTTCCTATTAGCTCTCAGTTTGGCTAATCCATCTGCCAAGCAGTTGGCAGACCTTTGTGTCCACTTGTACAAGTCCAATTTTGAATATTCATCCTTTATATACATCTAATAAAATTTTGACAGTGATCAATTGAAAAAATGAGGCATATCACAACTAAAATCATGCAAAGCTATATGCTGAGATATGAACAAACAATATATACATGAGAAAATTTTTTGAAATACCACGAATGGTATACCTAACATGAATACTAATTAAAAAAAGACCATTACCCAATGCTAGTTCTTGCTAACAAGGTTTTGGGAGGGGTGGACTGAATAAGGACCTAATTTGGGCATTTTTGCACTAAGTGGCAACTCACAGACTCAAACCCACATTCACATGCTTTTTTTATTAGTCCCACATTCACATGCTTGACAATCCAAGATTTAACCATTGGTGTTTAAAAATAAAGATGAATACCTTTAGCTTCTTAGCATCCTTTCCAGATGTAACCTCACAAAGAATGAAATTGGAATAGCTTGGATATGGTTTCAGAAATGGAACTTCCTTCAGGACCTTATACAGCCTCTCCCTTTCTTGCACCAAAGCCTCCTTCACTTTCTGTGGAGATTGCTTACTAGCATAAGATAGGATCTTAATCACAAAGTATATTTATTTGACATCGATGACTACAAATAGTAAAATACATGAAAAAGTAAGATAATGTTCAGAAGCCACAGTTTCAAAGGTACCTCCAGGTAGAGGGGATTTTGCAGTGCTGCACATGCAGAAATTTCAGCAGCGACAGAGACATTATATGGTTGCTTTGCTCTCCAAAGAAATTCAATGATGCTTAGAGGAAATGCTCCATATCCCACACGAAGTCCAGCTAAGCCTGTTTCATTTTTTTGGTCAATTAGTAAAACATGTTTCACTAGTAACTTGATTTCTATCTATCTCACAGATTCAAAGTTACAAGTGGAAATGAAATTCAACACAAAGGTGAAGCATAGCTGTCAAGGTGTCAGCAATTCTAAGTGACATTATGACAATGAAGCACCCAATCGTCTAGTCACTTAGGCAATACCTAGGTGACAATAGTTTACAAAGAAAGAACTAATCTCTAGGTTAGTTCCCTAGTCTTGCATACCAATCAACATGAATATTAAATAAAAACTAACAAGTCTATTACCTTTACTAAAAGCATTAACTTTCCTCTCAAAACATTGCAAATCATCATATATAAAAGACAATAGCATTCCAAATCAATTGATTCCAATATTTCACACAAAACACTATAACAAAATAAGTATTTAATAGAGTAATTGTATGTCAAAAAAATATTAACAATTAAAGAAGGCTATAGTTGTATACTAAAAAATTGAGAGAGAGAGAGAGACTGAGACTATAGAAAAGAGAAGAATTCTTCATCCTTCTCATTTCTTAAAACCCTTTGATCTTAATGGTAAAACACCTTTAAACAAATACAAAGCATATGTAACACATAATATACAATAAAATGCATTAGCATAAAACTAATATGTAGCCATGGTAATAATATTACAATAAGGCACCCACCTTGTATTTTTGTCACTTAGGCAGTATGGGTGATCTTTTCCAGCCCAACTATATATTATAAATAAAACTATTATGATATATTAAATATGCCGTATGAAATGGATAGAAGGTTAGAGCCATGGATCACAATATTGGTGATAGTTGGTGAACTTATCCTGAAATCTCCCCATTTTGCTAGAGGGCAACCGAAATTTTCCAAGAATTTTTTTCCTACCATCTCCAACATGCATTGCAATATGTCAGTGATATTTCAAATTCCATTGATAGACTTACATCAAAGGATTAGGATTTTAGAATATCATTAGAAATTTTAAATTTTTTTCCTAAAAGAAGAAATAGGGATTTGGTGATTGGATGATTGGCTTACTAATTTGATATGATTCACTTACTAAATCACTACAATTCAAAAGAAAAAGGATCAAAAAACACTTAAGTATAAAAGAGGATTCTCAATCTAATCAAAACCAGTGCTTTAAAAGCGCAAGGGCCAATTTGCGCTTGAGGTGCAAGGTGCAAGGCGAGGCGCGTGCCTTTTTAAGAAAGGCGCAAAATTACAAAAAAAAAAATCTAAAAATCAAAAAAAGGTCAGAAAATTCAAAAAAAAATGCCAACAATTTAAAAAAATGCAAAAAATATCAAAAAATATTAAACATAATGCTAATAAAAAATATAAACTTAAATTTTAAAATAAATGATTTAAAAAAACCTATTATCTAAAATTAAAATACATAAACATAACATGTACAGTGTATTCAAATGAAAATTTAAAAATAAAAGCAAACATATAAAGCATTTT